GTCTCGATAAAGTATAATCGATTTTTTTTTTTTTATATATATTATCTTAGAATTTGTAACCCATTCTTAAAAGCTTATGGGGGTTTACTTTGTACATATGTATTATATACTTATGAAAATATGTGTGTGATGTATATAGGATAGGTGTATTGGTAAATTCGATATTGGAAAAATAAAGGATGTGATGTTTATAAATTATTTTAGAATTCTTTACCCCACTTAAAAACTTATGACCCATTCTACAAAAATATTTAGAGATTTTAAAAAAGAATATAAGAATTTATGACACATTTAAAAACTTATGATCCATTTCAGTACATTTTTCTATATATTTATGTATTTAAATATATACATATAAGTAAATAGTTATATAGTTAAATAAAATATTAACAAAATAGATGAATAGATGAGTACAAAATTATCTTACAATTAATTAGTATTTTTAGATTACACAGAAACTTATGGTCATCCCAGTAGTACATTTTTATATAATTACTTACTTAGGTATACATCTACATAAATGTACAGATAATTATATATATATATATATATAAAATATAATATTGAAAAAATACAAGAAAAGATGAAGAAAAAAATGATTTTAGAGTTTATGATCACCCTTTATGTATTTATAAACCCATATATTATATATATGGTACTTTCGTTAGGTGTATATATAGATAGATAGGTAAATTCAATGGAAAAATAGAATAACGCAGAATGAGAGAAAGAAAAAGACAGAAAACTAAAAATAAAAATAAAAATAAAAATAAAAATAAAAAGAAAGAGAAAGAGAGAATTGTTGAGAGGAACTAGTAGGACCCTCTCTAGAGGATACCCGTTAGCCTCATTTTATTTGTTCGTCCATGACCCTCTCTCAACGTAGATGTCGGTCTAACGTATTTTATCGGGCAATCGTCCTCCTGTAATTGCACAAGACGACCAAGTAGCCATCTTTCCTTCTCTTTCTATAAATCTCTTTCTCTTTCTCTTTCCCTCTTCCTTCCCTTCTCCGTGCACACTTTTGCGTGTGTTGTTATAATTGGGAGAATAAAAAATAAAAGAGGATAAGGACTGCCGATCGACAAACAGCTGCCTTTCCTGACTGCTAATTAATTACAATAACGTTTGCCAAGTGGAATAGAACAAGACAAATAAGACAACGAAAAAGAGAAGTGGATAGAAGAAGAAGATGGAGAAGAAGATGGAGAAGAAGATGATGATGATGATGATGATGATGAGGGGGAGGAGGAGGGGGAGGAAAAAGAAGAAGAAGAAAAAAAAGTATTTATTCGTTTCTCTTATAAACGAGAGACAAGACGAGAATAGATACGACAATTAGAAAGACGAAACGTATCTGTTCGCTACGGATGTTTCTTTATGAAATCTTTATATATATAAATATATATAAAGTAAACTTTTGTATATATACCTTCTCTTTTAACTATCTTTTTCTTTTCTTTAAGAATTTAAATTAATTAAAGTGTTTCAAAGTATTCTATGTTCAAGTTTATTTTACATAGGGATGTGTCTTGAAATCTTAGATAAATTCTAAGTTCTAAGATGATTTTTACATTTAATTTGGAATATTTTTAAAAATTTTGTATTCAATATTATTACATATTGTTATTATATATATATTTTTGTACTAATTTTTTATTTAAAATTTTTATACTATTAAAGAATTTTTATATTAATTGAAGTGTATTTCAAAGTATTCTACGTTCATGTTTATTTTACATAGGATGTGTCTTGAAATCTTAGATAAAT